TCGTTGGAGCTGCCTGGTTCGCTCCCGGTGTCTTTTGAGGACACCAGAGCGCTGGGAGCTCTTTGCAACTTTTGATTCGGGCTGACTGGGTCCAGCGGAGTCTCGGTGCGTCGCCGGCTGAGGTTCACCTACCCGATTCCTCTCCACACGGGGTTCCCCAGCCGGAAGCGCGGTGAGACTCACGCGGAATTCTGTCAGCCCTGTCCATGGTCGATCCATCCGAAGCCGATTGGCTTCCTGATCTCCGTACCACTGGCTCTCATGGACATCTTTATAGCCATCTGAAAAGGTCATGACAGTGTTCCTGCCTTCTAAGATGTCATCAAAATGGCATGGAAGATCTCGCATGTTATGCAGGGGAGTGAAAAGCTGGCAACGTGGAAGAACATGAACTCTTGTAAGCTTGTCATCTTCAAGCTTCCAATAATCCCTTTGTTGCTCCCCATCATCATCATCGCCTGACATGGGAAAGGTGTCCTGTTCAATCTCATCTGTTCCAAACGCAAAAACACCCTGACAACTCTCAACCATATGGTCCAGCTGCATAGTCTTCAAAATGCCGTTGCAAATTGCTCGGCACAAGGGCTTGGGATAATGTGCTGCCTGGGATGACCTCTTCCCAAACTCATTTCCGCCTTCTATCCTTTGATGGTCACCCAAAACGCACTGACATCTCTTCCCCAAAGCATTCAGAATAGGCTCTGAATCGGACAGCCAACCAGTGGCCTTTCTGATGGGCTTCTTGCTCACGCTGTCGACCAAACCATACCGACATTGATGGCCAATGACAAACTTGGCCTGGCATCGTTCTAAAAGCTCGGCCAACAGACCTTCCCAAATCCACGCCAAAGATCCAGCGGGGTTCTCCACAAGGAAGTATCGCCCAGCATCATGCTGGAACTTGCAGGCTCGGACTATAAGCCTCAAAGTCTTTCGGCCAACATTGGATCGAATCTGATCCCAGTCTAACCAAGGGCTCATGTTTGTCATCAAACTCCAAATCCTGCAGTCAAACGCTATCATCAAAAGAAAGGGCTTGTGCTCCCTCAAAACTCTAAAAAGGAGTTCTTCGCCTTCCTTTGTGAGCAGGTCATAGCCATCAATCAAATCTAAGGGTTGTGAACATGTCCAACCAAACTCTGACATGCCCAGCCTGGTCAACCCAAAATTCCCGCCAAACGGTTCAAAGATCACGGTGTTCTGGAAACCTTCCGTGGCGGTCTGCTCTGCCAAAGTGTAACGCCGTTGAAGGGCCGTCCACATGCGGCGATCTCGGCGAAGCAGTTGAGTTGCGGCAAAATTTAGTTCTCCAACTCGTCGAGTGGAGAGCTGTCCCTTGGTGTCGCCAACACGCAACCCTCTGGGCTCCAAACGAGGAGCGACACCTTTGTGGGGTGTCCAATCATCTTCTGGATAGAGGGGCACGTCCGCAAGCAAGGAAAAACAGGACTCCTCATTGTAATAAACCATCAAATCCTCCCGTTCGGAAACTGCTCTAGGACTGTTGCGCTTTGGGGGAACCACTGGAATCGCCTCATCGAAGGCTACCTGAACTGCCAAATGCTTGGTTCTGGTGACATACAAAGGCAGCTCTAACTCCAAACTGTTTACCTCCACAACCTTCTTCTTGAGGCGAATGACCATGTCCAAAGACGACATTGCAGCTATGGACAACAACAAAGGTGTGTTCCCCTCGGGTACCTCCGCACTGTGCACCTCGCCCCTATATCCTCCCAAAAAAATGGGAATCCTGCACACCACCAGCTTGTCTTCGGTGGAGGCGCCATTGGCAAAATGAAAAGTTTTCCGCAGAGGGGTCTGCTGGCACTCTACCCCTTGAGGTAAGGACTTCTCATACTGCAACCTCCAAGCTCTACTGTGCATACAAGCGGTGCAAGCCGTGTCTAGGAGGGCAACTCGGCTTTCGTCAAAATGACGGGGATCGTGCACTGAATTCTCGTTCTGCTCAGCTGGGAAATCGGTCAATTGAGGAAATGAATTCTCAGCCATGTCTTGCAAACCACCAGGTGATTCAACCATGTATGCAAACTGACAACTGGTGGGTGAAAACTCTTCTTCATTGGGCTCATTGGCTCGATCCGCTCGCAGCGGAAGAGCGAGCGGCACCATCCTCAACCATCTCATCAAACTTTCTGGTGCCTCAGCATTTGCCTGCTGTGAACTGAGAGCATCCAAAGAACAATCCATTGTCTGCGCGGTTACGGCGCAGCACCATATCAGCTGTGCAAAGTGGACAACGAACCAAAGCTGTGACACGGCCCACTTCCAAGCTTGATGGTACAGCCAAACCTGACCTCGGATCCTTGCGGGGCGTCTCATCTGGCCCCATGGAAGCAGCTGCAAGTCGGGAATCCAAGTTCCTCCGAAAGAGACGCTCATCTGTGAGCCTTCGAAACGTATCATCTTCAGCAACGCTCTTGGAAGGAGGAGTGGATCCATGCTTGGGCTCAGACTGCACAACCTTCGGAGGCCGGCTCTTGGCTTTGGGCAAAACCAGGGGGCTCTCGGCTGCTGGAATCAAAGGACTTTCCACCAGACGCACAAACTTGGCAGAACAACCTTTCTTCAACACCATCTCACCCTTGAACAACTTGTTCAACCGATCCAACAACTCCCCTTTTGCACCTGAACACTGAATGCCCCAGTTCTCGCACTCTGTCTGCAACTCACGCACCTTCATCTTGCTCAAATTCTCAGGGACAACCTCGGACAAACATGGGATCTGCAACTCCGTGACATCCTGAGCTCGCACTTTGCGCACCGAGGTGACCTCAGCAATCACCTCCTTACCGCTGACTGTAGAATCAGAGGCATCAGGGATCCACGGCACCATGGGAGAAGCTTGAGAAACATAGCCCTGAGAGGTGTCACTGATGGCCTCCCAGTCGGTCATGGAGGGCTCGTAAGCTGGCCGCATCTTCCGACGATCATCTGTGTCGGTGTGGCCGCTATCCTGTTGCATGTCACTGTCACTGCCATCTCCTACCATGTTGCAATGCCCATCTTCAGAAAGACCTTCATCTCCAGAAATGGAAAAGTAAAGTGGGGTCTCTCCCACCAAGTAGGCCCGGCCAGTACGGCCACCACGGCCTTGGCCTTTCTTGTTGCCCTTGCCCTTCTGGATGCGCTTGGGACCATTGGATGACGACTTCGGGCAAATTGCGTCCCCAGCCCAGTGGCCCAATCGATCACAAGCTGCACAGCGAGTACGGCTTTTCTCCTTCTGAATGGCCTTCTGGCGCTCTTCATAGGAAATCTCACCCTTGATCTGACCGGAGATGTCGCCTTTGAAATAGCCTCGATTGCGCTGAATCTGCTTGAGCTTTTGTCGGCTCTCCTGATAAGTCTTGCGCTGTTGGTCCATGGCCGCAAAGGCCTCATAGATCTCATCGTCTCCAGAAGCGCCGTAATCTGACGGGGGCTCCTGATCGGCCTCATTCACAGGGGCCTCTTCATCTTCAACCGCGTAGGCCTCGTCAAAAGCCTCTTCATTCTCAAACGCCTCCTCATCTTCCGAGACCTCTTCATCGGCAACCGCATAGGACCGGTTGCCACGACCACGGCCCTTGGGCCTGCGATGCTGCTGACCCCAATCTGAGGCTGTACGACGCTCACGCTCATGGTGATCAAAATAGGAAACACGCAAGGCTTTCTCAAAACCCTCAACCGTGTATGCACTCTGATTGGCCAGCAAAATCTGACGACGATCCTCACGACTGAGATTGGCATGTTTGAGCAAGAAATAGGCCATCAAATCATCTGACATCTTGATGCCCTCAGCGACATCCTGCAGATTTGCCCAGTCTTGCTTCCGCTTTCGGAGAAAGGAGTCGATGGACTGACCCTTCAAGCGATGGCATCGCTCAAAGAACTTGTCAAACGCTTCTGTCTTCTTGATCACTCCAACCTTCTCAATCGCTTGAAGCGCCTGAAACACCAACTTGTATCCATCTTTCTCTTTCAAGCCTAGCTCAGTCAAAAGATCTTCGCATGATCTCCAAGCCTCACCATGCAACGCATCGACCAACTTCTTGGCAAAACGACGCTGTTTCTTCTCCAGATCACGGGCCTCCTTGGTCTCGTCATCGCCTTCACCTTCAAGGTTGTTGTAGGCGAAAAGGACTCTACGCCTGTACTCTCGCATCAGCTCTGGCATGGCTCCCGTGTAGTGGGGCACTCCGTCCTTGTCCACTATGATCTCATCATCACGGTACCAGGAGCGACCGTGATCATTGGAAGCCATGGCAGTTGCCGAGCTTGTGTCGGCTCCGCCTACCAGTGCGAAGCGCGCAAGCTATTTTCCCAGCAAGAACGAAAGGTAAAACATATGCCATGTGAAACACTGTGAACATCTCGTGGCTGGAATGATCTCTTTCTGCTGCTTGTTGCGGTTTCTATTGCAAAGGACAGGCCGATTGAATGTGTAGGCCGCAAGTGGCCAACATCTCTCTTGGGCCAGCATCCTGGCGATCATCAGCTGACAGGTCAAGTGCAGGTGCATCAAGGCAACTCTCCACATCCCTGACAGGTCAAGTGCAGGTGCATCAAGGCAACTCTTCACAACATTGTACATATTGTATATATTGTATATATTGTATATGCACTAATATATGATTATATATGTATGTACATTGTATTTACATTGTGTGCATGTATTATATACTATGTGTATTATGCATGAGTTATACTATCATATATTCTACTTACTGTAAGATTATGTTTATGTATGTGAGTGCTTTAAATTATATGTACATTTATTGTTGAGATACTATATTATTGATGTTGATGGTCTCCTTTGCAGTTTAGTCAGTGGATTTGTTTCAAGTATGAGTTACATCCATTAAAGATCGCTGCAAGGAGGATGAACTCCGCTGACCTTAGACCACCTTTGTTGACCTTCCACTTCGATGATACTTCGATGATACTTCGATGTTTGGCGAATTGTCATTTGGTCTATATTTCATCGCTGCACCAAGGAAATGTCTCGGAAGCCAGCTCCGCTCTCTGCGAGGCCTGGCAAAGTGGTGTTGCTTGGCTCAACGGTTTCACTACTCTCAGAGCAAACTTCTCTCAGAGTGATGCCCAACTGTTTCATTCATTGCAGCATAGCAATGAAATGCGATCAAATGACAGGAAAAAAATTGAGAAAACAAGACACCTCTTCCAGATTCATTCAGTCTGTCAGGCTGCAGAGAGATAGCAAACGACTCAGGTTTGTGGGATTTGCAGAGTTTGACATGGACGGAAGAGCATTCACTGGTGGGGAGATGGATCGAATGATGATGATACTTGCGCTGAGAAATTGTTTCTGCAATTTTGGCAATTTCTGATGCTGGGAGATGCGTGGGTTGCAGGTGACGAGGGGCCAGCTATTTGGATATGTCTGGATATACTTATTCGGATATATTTTGATCATTTATACAGTTGTGATGTTTGCTGCAAGAGTATTGTTCCATATGACGACCAACCATTCACCAGTCAGTTATTTAAGCTACTTGCAGCGGCCGAAACGCTTGGACTCAGAGAGAGAGAGAGAGAGTTTTCCGCGTGTTTTATCCTGAGCACCTCCCGTGCAGTCACCATTCCCTTTTTTACTCTATCTGACTCTATCTATACTATCAATTGTCAAATCTGGAGGATAACAGGTTCGACCTGGGCGAGGTAATCTTTGATTGATTTCTAAGGATATCAGCATCTCAGAAATATCCGTGCTCCCGCCCTGCAACCTTCGATGAATATGCAGCCGTGCACTCAGTTGATGATTTCATGTGTTAAATGTGCAATGTGCATGTGTGGGAAAGATGGTAAAGATATGTAGAGGTTGATGTTGTTGCCAATTGACATGGATCATTATCATGATTAGATGATGAAGCGGAAACTCCACTCTCTACTTGTTGTGTAACAAGAAAGATGATTGGCTTGTACAGCAAAATCGAGTCTTGTGTTCCATCATCCGGATCCTGCGCAATCAAGCAGGAAGCGAAGCAGAATTATATAGAATTATGATAATTATGCTTGACTGGGAGACATTTGGTAATTTGGTAATTTACCCCAGTGTGTCGTTTCTTCATTAAGTTGTGTGGCCCCAGGCCTCACGACATGCCGAGGAGCGCTGTATCTTGGGCCTACCTGAGCGAAACACCTGCGGCCGAGACGTGGTTTTTGTGGGCCCGGGAGCCACAGGATGCAACTTGCTTCAAGCAGTGGCACAGCCGTGAGGCAAGTTTCAGCATGTTTCAGCCGTGAGTCATGAAAACATCAGGGCTCATGTTCCATGAAAACAGCAAAGCCTTTTGATGCCTGGAAGAAATCCAAGAAATCTGAAACTGTAGCACTGTAGCCTGGAGCCACTGGAGCCAGCCACATTCCCACATGTTATCGCCCAGGTGAGCTTTTTCACACCAACACCCTAGGACTGCCATTCTCTGTGGTCGTGGGATGTCATGGAAATCATCATTCATCATCCAGATATCTAGACGCGATTTTCCAGCGATTGTCAACTGCAACTGAAACTGTAAGCCTGACCACAAAGGCTTGACTATGATTAGATCTCCAACATTCTCTACATGTTTTCACCCTTGCCATGCAGGAATTCAAAAAGCCGTGGTGTCGCCGCATGACACGCTCCTGGAAGTTTTCATGTCGGCGGCAATATGTATAGTCTTTTTGTTCTCGAAGTAGTTCAACAAAATTAAAGACGTAGTCTGAGGACCTCGGTTTTTCAGGGTTGCAATCACATCCTCTAAACATTGCAACATGTGATCCCTAATCACATTCAGTTTGGTGGCTGGTACTGGTACGATCAAAGGCCCTCAGAAATCATCAGAAATAGACACAACGTGCTATTATTAGCAGGACTTGTCTTCGTTAGCACGCTTTAGCGTCTGTGACAATTTAAGGTTTGATGGCACGTGGGGAAATGCCTCCCTGTATGGCCGCAAATGTGGCTTGACTTAACTGCCTATTGCAGCACTTTGGTCCCATTGTGTTGGAAGTTTGCATCAGCGCCAGATGTGTAACTGCCAGATGCCTTGGATTTTGCAGTGCCACATTTGCCTCCGTTTGTGGCTTCAAATTTTCTTCCGTGACAATGTCTCTCAGCCATGGCGTGGCATAGGCATTTTGTGCGTCTATCCTGTGCAGCGATTGAAGAAGCAGCAAAGCCTAATGCAGTTTGGTTTGGCCCGACGAACTGTTGGGAAGTGGGGAACCTCAGAGAATTTTCATGATTTTCATGCATCTTCAAGGTCAGGAGGGTTTAGGTCGTTTAGGTGCATTGCTGTGATGAGATAGGAAAAGGTGGCCTTGGATTTCCTTGCGATTCCTGGGGCCAATTTCCAGATTGATTCTGCCCAGGTCAGGGCGCCTGCGACGAGCAGGAAGCCTGGCGTCCCTGACGGACCAGACGCAGTGGACCACCAGCAACTTTGGGTCTTCCACCAATCAGGTCAGGGTGCTGGTTGTGACTTTGCGCCATTTTTGGTTCAAGGTTTAAAGTTTATACTGATAGGTCTGCGGCGTTCTCAGATCGGTTCAATATTGTTCAATAGTTGTTTCGACGACGATACTTCGTTGTTTCGAAACCTGCTCACCGACACATACTCCACTTTCTCCTGAGTGACTGGAAGTCGGATCAGCGTTGTATACTAAAAGGTACCAAGTAGGTCACGGACCATCCAGATGCATTCTAGGTCCTGTAAATGCCTTCCAGTGGGGATGGCGGGGGTGGAGTGGGGGCTAATAACATCTAATTAATTTCATTAATAACGTGTTTGCCTGACTTCTTGGCACAACTTGAACCTCAATGACCCACGTTTTTTTTCTCTTCTATTTCTCACGTTCTGGTAATACAGCCCCAGTCCTGCTTTCATGATTTTTCTCACGGCCTTCGCACCTCTATCCCTTGAATTGTGGCCGCAAAGCCACTGTTAAAACTTGGATTCCCATGGGTTTACATATCTCTTGCTCCGGCGGCAAAAAATTGCCCACAGAGAGCCATCAGGCATCAATAGACATGGCACCAGAATCCAACTTGTCGCTTCCATTTCATCGACAGAACTCTTTGTCCTTGTGAACGGCATGATCATCGAGCACACGTGTGTGGCACCGCACATCTTTCGTGGTTCTGTACCATTTGGAGCATAACTCTTGAATGCTTACGATCCCTACACTGATGCATGTTACATGGTATAAACGTTAGTATAAACTAAACTAATTCCCACCGAACTGATCAGGATCCAACATTATATATATATATCATATATAATATGTTTCCAGATGCACAACAAAACGGCTGGCAGCAAACATGGCAGATTGGATGGATGGTGTAATCAACATGAAAAAACATTGTCTTTTACCCGCTTGTCGCATACTAAAATGTTCCAAAATTTGATTCAAACCTGTATAAGTTCAGGCGTAAGACTTGTTTGTGGTACAGTTTTTACATGTCGACAAATAATTCAATTTAACTATTCTAATTCAATCTATCATGAATACCTGTGGCATTCCGGAAAGAGTTTTTGTTGCCGGAGATCCAGCACAGGTAATGTATAATCTAATGTGATATCCACATTTCAGACCCCAATCTTACTTTATGTTTTAATTAACCATAATTAACCTGTTTTGTCATTCATCCAAATTGAATAGTGCGTGACCGCCGCACCTGCCCGAGATGTTGTAACTCAAGCACGTCTATCAGAAACCTGACCCAGACGTGTAGGGTGTTACCTAGCACAGTTGTCGCCATGTCGGAGTATGCTGCGTCGAAGGGCTCATCCAAGTCGGATTCCAGCAAAGGGAGCCAGCAAGGGAGCAGTCAGAGTGAGCGTGAGCGTGAGGAAGAAGAAGAAGAACAACTAACTACCACGCAAGAGCAGGCGGGAGGGGGACCCCAGAAAGCCTCCGGCCGCAGGGGGCAGCCTCCAAAGTTTGCAGTTTGACCTGGAATGAGCCAGAGCCAGCTCATGATGAAAAGACTAGGGTTCAAGAAGGGATGGAATCTTTCATATAGCCGACCGTATTCGTGTGACTTTGATTTGACAATGGGATAAAGTAGCATGGTTTCTTTGTGGTGTAGTATGCAGAAGCTAGAAACATCTAGAAACAGCATCAATGCATTGAGAATGGAAGGTCCTCAGATCAAGGCAGAATATGTACCCGGGAAGATCCGGGAAGACCCTTGTTTATCTTGTTTTGCAGATTCAACGTCTTCAAACCGATTGTGAGGGAAATAATTTCATGGGAGGCCAACCGCGAGCAGATGCTCCAAGAGGCATGGCAAATCTCTGGGCTGGAGGATTTGAATCGTGGCAGGCAGTGCATAGCTTTGAGTTGCTTTGATAGGTACCAGAATGTACCAGAAATGCACTCTCCAACTTGGAAGCCGTGACAACATTTTTTGGCTCTTCAAATGAAAGGATTGTACAGTATTGTCCAGTTTTTTTGTTTTTTTGGCTAGAGAGCAATCGGTTGGTCAGGAAGGCAATTTGACAGCTTCAAACATCTAAACATGCTGACACTTGCCATATGTTTATATTTTTTGTATAATCTTATATATATACACACATATATATATATATATATACGACATTCATCTGCCCTTGTTACCCCCTTTTGAATCTGTCTGGCAGCTCTTCAGCCAAGGAAGACCATGAACGACAGTTCCCTGGGAACCGTAGAATTCCCTCAAGACATCGCCCAAGCGATCCAGGTGTGAAGGGCAGACCCATGCCAGAGCGATGTGTAGGATGAAGTGGACATTGTATGCCACAGCAGTCATCAAGAAGCAGCTCGTGGCATCCGCAATGAATCCGGGCGCTGGGCGCTTCATTTGTCTTCCCTGTGAATTTCTTCAAACAATTCTTTGCATGAATTGAGAAGCGCAGCAGATTTGACCGTGTTTCAGCGTGTTTTGCCATGCTTCGACATGCTTTGCCGGTTGAGAGCTAATCTTGTGCTTCGCTTCGGCCAGGACGTTTGGAATCATACACTTGAGGAGTGGGGCACTCGTGAAGCCGCAGGAGAAGCTTGTCCAGCTCAACTGAGGTTTTGAATCGCTTTGGCCTGCTGTAATCAATGTAATCCCCCTGCGACATTCTCCCACTTCAAAGATATGAAAGTGAGCAACAGCATGGCAGAGAGTTCCCTGTTGATACAGTGTGATATCAATGTATGATATGATCAAAGTGGTCCACTTGATGTTACACCATCATGATCCCTCATGTCCTTTTGAGAGTTTCAGCAGATCCATGCCATGAGGGTTGTGGAATTTCAGTGGTGGCGCCACTTTGTGGCGCCCAAGCTATGCCAAGCCGACTTGAGGAAAATTTCTTCACAGTGCTTTTTGATGCCGCACCGAGCTTGCAAGTCATATTCAAAAACCCAAAGGCAGTCACTGCAATGCGTTCCTTGATCAGGAAGGATGGGCTATGGAGGGCTGCAATTTGGTGAGCTGAACGCTTAGAGTAGGATTATTCGGAAATTATTAATGTTTGTTCATTGCAAAATGTGGGCCCCTTGGTACGATCCAACTGGGATGCATATGTGACTCCCTCTTGTTTTACATGTGTGTTCCTCTACAGTAATGTCTAACACTTCGTTTATGCATTTATTTGTGTATATGTATATATGTATATGTGTGTGTGTGTTTTATTCTGTTTGGTGTTCGAGGTATTGTTATTTGTTTGTTTTGCCTGTTTTTTTCAAGACTTTTCCAACAGATTCAACCTATATAATTCAGTCCATTGTCCGCAACATATGGCAACATTTTTTTCCCAACACTTAAGAAGTTTGGCGCAGTCACAGATGTAAAGATTGATCATTGAAAATAGGATCAACATTAGGTGCTTGGGACCACCATTTTCAGCACCCCTGTGCAGAGCACCGGCACAGGTCAGGAAATTTGCCATTGCAAAACCCACTTTCGCTCAGGTTTCATGGCAGGACTGGGCGACGCCATTGCCGTGGTTGGCAAGGCAACGTTGTTGCGTAAGGAAGTTGAGGCACCAATCCGCAAGCTTGAGGGATGCATGGGTTCTGTTAGGATCTTGAGCGCATAATCTATACACGTCTAACCCTTTTGCCAAGTCAATGAAAATAGAAGCTCGCACGCTAACATCCTGGATTGATCCTCACGCTCCTGAATGTTGTCGTGCATCCTTATTGGCATAGCCATGTGTAGCCTAATGCCCATTCACATGGCATCACTTGGCATAGCTGCGAATCAACAGCAGAGCCTTCTTGAGGGTGCTTGGTTTGTGTCGCTTATACACGCTGTATACATTTGCATTGCTCTGCGAATCTGCAACAGGCTTTAGCTTTCAGGCACTTGGAGGTGGACGTCAGCTTGGTGAGGGCAGACTTCTTTCGTGAAGCAATGCTGGAAATGATGGAGGCATCTTGTTATTGCATTGAATCAAATTTGCAGCCGAAGCAAATGACGTGATTTGACGTGATCAAACAGCAGTTCATGCAGTTTGGAAAGTCATACGCTTTTGACAGTTTCAGCCAAATTTGTCTAAATTTGCCATTATGGTTTGGGCATGTTTGGGCCTCATGTTGTCATCCTCATCCCCTGCTTAATTATAGCATCCAGTGTTCAATGCATCGTCAACCTGCTCGGATCGGTATTTCACCAGCTTTTTGTGAGGATCGGCTTGGACCTGCCTTCACAGTCAACGCCCGTACCCTATCTGCACATTTAATCCATGCTATGCCTTCCCGTTTCAGTCGCTTGCCAGGTGCAGTTGGAGTGGAGTCAGCACTTGGGTCCCTGACGTTTTTTTTGTTTGATTTGGTATTGCAGCTTGTCCGAGCATGCCTGTGTGCGCCCGTGTGAAACACGAACGTTGCGTTCAATCACTGCGGAAGGTATCGGATTTCATGCACTTCTCAATTATTGCGGTGGCGCTTTTGTGTACGTCAGACGAGAGTACGCAGGCGCAGTGGGACTTACTGGCAATACTGTTGTCGCAAACAGCGGAAATTCAATGTTTCCCAAGGTTTCTGCAACCAACTTGGTGTGCACTCATTGTCTATAATTTTGTGCTGTCAGTGAGAGGGGTTGAACAGGCAGAGGTGCAAGAAGAATCCAACACAATCCAGCAGCTCTCAGCAACGCAAATATCTGTGTCCTGTTGTATCCTTTTCTTAGAGAGTGATTGGCACCTCTATTGAGAACGGAGGTGCCTCATAGCCTCGTAGTGGGTCGCTGTATCGCCTGCAACCACCAAATTTGCATCGCTTGCACTGCAATCATAGCTCTGGGTCAGGATCATGTCTAATGATCATTTTCCAAGTCATCATTGCCATGTCATCACCAACATGTTTATCACCTAAATCATCATCATCATCATCATCATCAATTATCATCATCATCATCATCATCATCAACATCAATCAGCATCATCATCATCATCATCATCATCATCATCATCATCAATCAATCATCAATCATCAATCATCATCATCATCATCAATTATCATCATCATCGTCATCATCATGAATCATCATCATCATCATCATCATCATCAATTATCATCATCATCATCATGAAAATAAACTATTATCCTTATCACCAACATGTTCATCACCTAAATCATTAGCATCAGCATCACCAAAATCATAATAATAATAATCATCATCATCAATTATCATCATCATCATCATCAATTATCATCATCATCATCATGAAAATAAACTATTATCCTTATCACCAACATGTTCATCACCTAAATCATTAGCATCAGCATCACCAAAATCATAATAATAATAATAATCACCATCATCATCAATTATCATCATCATCATCATCATGAAAATAAACTATTATCCTTATCACCAACATGTTCATCACCTAAATCATTAGCATCAGCATCACCAAAATCATAATAATAATAATCATCATCATCATCAATTATCATCATCATCATCAATTATCATCATCATCATCATCATCATCATGAAAATAAACTATTATCCTCATCACCAACATGTTCATCACCTAAATCATTAGCATCAGCATCACCAAAATCATAATAATAATAATAATCATCATCATCAATTATCATCATCATCATCATCATCATGAAAATAAACTATTATCCTCATCACCAACATGTTCATCACCTAAATCATTAGCATCAGCATCACGAAAATCATAATAATCATCATCGTCATCACCGTCGTCATCATCATCATCATCAACAACATCATCATCATCAGCAGCATCATCAGCATCAACATCACGATCCCTATTATGTTCATCACCAACATGTTCATGGCCAAAATCATTAGCATCACCAAATCATAACAATCATCATCAACAACAACATCATCAACCTCATGGACTTCATTTCGTTCGTCTTCTTCATCATCAGCATCATTGATATCATCAACCAAAGTATCTAGTATATCATGTCATCAGCAAACTCATTATCATCACCTTCGGTTCCTTCTTCATGTTCAGCATCATTGACATCAAAAAACTAAAAGTCTATAATATAGTAAATCATACCATCATCAGAGTCACCATCATGTTCATCACCGTCCTCATCACGACCATCATCATCAAAGCAGGCAGAACCAAGAGCTGACATGATGCACAAAAAACATCAAAAAACCTGTTGCCAACATCTGCCAACATTTGGTTCAATCAAAGAAACCCTAAAGGCGTTGTACTTGTGTACTTCCTGTGTGGAGCAAAGAAACCCTAAAGGTGTCATGCCTGTGTACTCCTGTGTGAAGCACAGAACCCCTAAAGGTGTTGTACCGGTGTACTCCCAGTACCTGTGTACTCCCCGGAGCAAAGAAACCCTGAAGGCGTTGTACCTGTGTTCTTCCTGTGTGACACAAAGAAACCCTAAAGGTGTCGTACCTGTGTACTTCCTGTGTCAAGCACAGAAATCCTAAAGTTGTCGAAACTGCTTCTTACACCCTGAACATAAATTGTCGCATCCCCTTGAAAAGGAGTGCTGGTGTAAGTGATTCGAATTTGTTGGTTGTACGTGAGTGCCTGCGGTGTAAGTGAGTGGGTGGTGCAAGTGAGTCAGTCAAATCTGTCGGAGTCTGTAGCCCTCATGGTGCCCCATAGACTGTCGTAATTTTTGGTGGGTTCACAGCCAACGGCTCACGCACTCAGGCCGCATCAAGGTGATCCTCAACAGTTGGAACATGGTTCAGAAGAGCGAAGTGCTGGCAGCCGCTGAGGAGGACGGGGCGCGTGTGACAGGATGGCTTCTGCAACGGGCGGGTTAGAGATGGTCGGAGTGCTGGTGTTTGTTTCCACTAGTCACTAGTTGTCACTAGTTGTCACGAGTTCCTTGTTTTCTCATAAATCTCATATATACCAAATTTGATATTTGGGCTGCCTTCTGGTGAAGATTTACCTATGCACTCTAGATGGGGGCTGCACCAGGTGGAAGCCATTGAAGGCGAGGGCGAAGAAGAGGGGAACAAAGAAGTTGAAGGAAAGCAGGAGCAGGAGCCGCTTGAGCCTGTGCGACAGAGTTTGAAGCGGTTGAAGGTGGGCAAGGTGCAGCCAGGGAGGTCAAGATAGGTCAAGGCCATAGAACCCCCAGAACCCCCACTACCCCCGTTGCTGATCCGAGCCGCACATCGCCAAATCCAGTAGGATGATCTTTCTCCGAAGACAACGGCGATGTCGCCAGATTCAGGGCATGATTCGATGGACATCATCCCAGCAGGAAAAGATACTTTGGCAAGATCCGCCATGCGTGGTTTGTAGAATTTGTATGAATTTGTATGAATTTGTATGAATTTGTAGAGTATGGCATCTTGGGGCAGGCCCGTTGCCTGTTGCGTAGAAATTTTGCAGCTCATGCTGTGAAACTACATCCAAGGAAATGAAAGTGCCAACAACCTTCAACGAGATGCTGCTATTCAATGCTTCTGTCATGGGCTACGGCTCAAGCACATGGATGAGCATTGTCTTGCAGCAGTTCGATGACATGGCAGCTTGACTGTTCCAGTATGCTGCAACCACATTGTGTTTTTCTGACTGAATCTGACTAAGCTTCATTTCCAAATTCTGGAAGGTGCGGAACGTGGCAAACTTTGGCCGCTTGCAAGAGGAATGCGATGTGATGTCCTTGGTGTTGGCACCTTGTCTAAGACTCTTGAGGGGACGGAGATTCTTCAACCAGTCAATCAACTACTCTGGTCTCACCCTCGGTAGTTAGACGGTGAGAGATTGTAACAACCCATCCACCTCTTTTGTTGGTTTGTTTCTCAAATCAGTTACTTCAGTTGCAAAAGCGCTGCAACGAGGCTAAATATAAAGGAAGGATCAACCTACCTGAGTTCAAAGCTGTTACTTTGGCATCCTTGCGCTCCCTTCTGCCAGCAGACTGGGACTCCGAGCATGAGGCTTGGGGATGCTTGGGGAACATATGGGAACAATTGAGAACATATTATCACAAAAGGATAATTGCTTGGCAACACAGACTTTGTCTTGACCAACGATGCTTTACTCCACAGGCTTTACAACAATTTGCATTAAGTGCAATGTCATGTTACGTCTTCTGCTTGGCAGGTGGCTTGGGGGTGGCTGTGGGAGAACATTGAGAACCTCTTGAGCGCAATGCTTGGCAAACCGAAGCAACAAGAAGATGCCCTTGAGAAGTTCTACAGGCATTTCTGCTGAAATGCGCTGAACGAATCTCCATGACGTTCAAACATTTTCTCAGTCTTTCTCCAGGAAGCCATGAACTTCATTCAGATCATTTATATTCATTTGTTATTATATAGATCATTTAGTTCATCAATTCATTCACGTCACTTGGTTCAGCAAGATTAGCATGAATGAAAAGGATGACTTTAAACTAGAGTGAAAACACATATTCAGATTCACAACTTGACAATCCATCCTCATTATTGTTAAATATCCAATTCTGGTGTTCTGCTGGTTGGCTTCACAAGTCCAAGAATCACTCCCAGAATCAAGATGACTTTACAAATAACTTTACAAAGTGTACAATGTAATACTAATGTACTGATTGTGCTGGCTCTGTACTGGCTCTGTACTGGCTCTGTACTGGCTCTGTACTGGCTCTGTATGGCTCTGTATGGCTCATGCTTTTGCTCATGCTTTTGGGATCTTTTGGGTCTTTTGGCGAGGCATATTGCCGAAGAAGATTTTCAAATGCTACGTTCAAAGCTGTTCCCGAACTTCCTGGAGACAAATCCAGCAGCCCAGAGCTATGTGACGCAGTCAGCCACGCGAATCAATTTTGTGGCAGAAAAGATTCTGGGCCTGAGCTTGGAACCTCGGCTGATCTCAGCTGTCAAGTCTCAAAATTTCACAAAGCCCTCTCATCCGAGCTGTGAATCGCTTGACAGTCTTGACAGTGGCATGTGGTCCGCTGTTTGGCCATCAAATTATATCAAATTAATAAGGCCGTGTTTGCTTCTGCCATGTGATGCCATGTGTCATTTGCCTCCTGGAAGGATCTGTACCGTTCCCCGCGAAAGCTGGTGGAGGACAGGTTGCACAGCCGTGGTCGCTGGAAGTCCAGCGGTGGACAGTTGCTCTGAGGTGTATGTTCCCCACATTGTTTTTCTGTCTTGCACCCGTTCGCCTCCTTCGCCCACCACATCCTCAACATACACTTAAAACATTGTTGTCACGCACAACTCTGCCACACACACACAATATTGTCACACATACACACCCATACACACACACAACATTGTCACGGCAGGCGTGGCATTTATGACTCTGGGCTTGCTGGGGTGGACCGGCTTGGTCTGATGTGACGCCAGCTGCTTTCTGCTGCTCATGCGTGACAGGCACCATTTGTGTGGCAGGCGATGGGCTACTTTTCCGTGGTTGTGCGTGGCACGCGTCGCCGTGGCGCCGCGGCATATTATGTGGCAGGCGCTGCACGTCCTGCCGCTGAACGAAGCAATGAAGTACTTGTTGTGTGGCAAGCACCGCGCAACATTGTCACACAAACTGCAACACAAACATACACACACACACACAAGAAAAACACCACAGCGTCACGGACAACATTCTCGCATATGACACAACGCTGTCACACACCACACTGTCACGCACCCCATTGGTACACAAACCACATTTCTCACACAAGACTGTCACATACGACTCTGTCACACACACACACAGCATTGGCACACACACACACACAACTTTGATCAACTTTGTATCATTATGTATCAGAACACACACCCTCCACCCTTGAATAACAAACGAGCAAACAACCAAATGAAAGACACGGTCACCAAAACCACAAGCCATCGCCAAGACTGCCAGGGCACCACACTACAAGTTTTAAAGCACACTCCTCTCGTCAGGCAGCCACCCTTTGCAGGGTACTGCGAAGAATTTAACATTTGTGAAAATTAGTTGTCAAAATATGTCAAAATGATCGCAGGAAATTTCCGCTATTGGACTTCGACATGTTGGCAGCTCGGCTGTGCCGAATATCAGGGGCCAGCTTGCTACGTTTTGCAGCACATCTCACCAATATTCACCAATCATTCAAGGTGGCAAAAGACGGCATAAGTGACACTATAGTGTTCATTGTGAATGGAATGGACGCAATTTCAGGAGAAGACGAAACATTCGTACAATCTACGTCAATCTACATACATTCACGCCGTTTTGCACAGGTGACAAGGATACAAACACACCAGTCTAACATGGACACGCAGACGTCCTAATGATTTTATGATACCTGCATGTACGCATGTGATGTTTCATTATCATCGTCCCTAATTGAAACATGTTCACATGCAGAGAGATGCAGAGAGTCCAGTTGTAGGTTTCATGCACAACATTACGTACGACTGTATACTACATGCACAATATATTTCCAGTATACATGCATGATGTTCACTGGTATGAACACGTACACAAATACATGATCCCACATGTATATAAATAAACATACGTGTATATAGATATATATTATACAATTATATACATAATATGTAACATCAAATACATTCAAACACAGCAGTGTAAGTACAATATATACTGTGTGACAGACGTTGGAGGTGCACTTGCCAATGTGTTTGGGTTTGTTGGTTCTTTCCAAACAGCTTTGCGGGGAGCCACACCCCAGAAGCAACACAATGCCCGAGGTTATGGCATCCCCACAGATATTTTCCCACATTTCGTCAGTTCTGGTGTGGAGCTTTTACAAACATTGACCCAGGCTGGGCCTGACAAAGAAGTCATTTGTGTGTGTGTGCTTGTGCTACACTGTAGCGCAACATGCAAAGCAGGTGATTTGTTTGAATCAACTTATGTGATAGACTTAGGTATGCACAAGTGAGTGATATTTCCGCCCGGAACCAGCTGTGATGTGACAGGTCCACATTTCAAGAGATCAACCATTGAGATCTTGCCTCACTGACAAGACTTGCCGTACACCTCCAAAGTACAAAGTTTCCATGTTGTAAAAAGAACCTGATTAAGTGAGAATAAGTGCTGGTTACGGCCTGGCTAATGCCTGGCTAATGCCTGGCTATCCTTGACCATCCTTGACCCATTAAAGATGCCATTCGCCTGCAGCGCAGGCGGAGCTGGCGATTGAAGCCTTCCGCTGGGCATTGGCTCTCATGGCAAAGATCATAATGCGAACTATCTCAGAAGGTCCGGCGCAACTTCTCCATTTCCTGGAGTTCAAGCCCATGCAGTTTGCATTGAGCCATATTGAGCCATGTTTCGGTCATCTCGTTGCATCTCGTTGTCAGGTTCCACCCTGGTGATGAAAGCCATCAATGCCAACCAGAAGTCGCAGCTGAAAAAGGCCATGGAGGCAAGGCATGGATGGCCTAAAATTGCTTAAAATGCCTTATAAACAAAGCCTGATTGAAGATATTTGAAGAGTGTTTTTTGATGGTTTTTGTGTGTGTCGCATTTGTTGGGAAATGTTGGGATGTTGCAATATTTGTCGCCAATGGTTTCGTGTATATTCGCGTCCTTGCTGTCCAGGTTTGTGCGCGAGTTCAGAGAGCACAAGAGCTGCTGAACATCACGGCTGGTACTCAATCGATTTCGCCCTTCTACTGGGCCATCGCCCCTTGACCATGACGAATATGTTGCTTAATTTTACACATTTGTGTTTCACTGTCAAAGATCTGATGTTTTGAGTTAACCCAATCGTCTAGTAGAATCGTGGGCACGTTTGGAAGTGTTTAGATGCATCCATGTGCAAACCTACTGGTTACTGTATTGACGATTGGTGCGTGAGCAGATTGGAATGCGGAATGTAGCATGATTAGCATGATATAATAGAAGATGAGAAGACAGTGCATTGCACCGCTTTGATCTCAGAGCATGCAGGTAGCCTAGACGGAATTACTGGCACTCCTTCAAACGCAATACCGGCAATACCCCATGCATGCATCACAACATTCGATTCAGTACTTGGATACGGATAGATATTAACACTTTCGATATCAGGCCATAGCCATAGAAGTCTTATCCAAGGGGTCCTTGTAGAGAAGTTGCTGCTTGTGACTATGAGAGAGAGAGAGAGAAAGAAAGAAATAAAGAAAGAAAGAAAGAGGCTTAGACTAGTTTAGATCAAATTGCAAACTAGATTTAGATTAGAGGTTAGACATGGTTAGACATAGTTATGCCATCAGAGAATAATAGATAGACATAATTGTTTCAAATAAGGTAAAGAAATTGGCGCACCAACCCGTACATGGCGGCGTTCAATCACAGAGAGAGAGAGAGATGTACAGGCAGTAATGGATATATGATACATGAGTGTATGTTGTTTTTGTTCTCCAGGATGCCCATATTTTACAAGAATCAGAAGTAAAGTAGCACCTCGAAACATACCCGAGAATCACACATGCAAATCATACGCCCACTACAGCAAAATCCGGGCGCCTGATTTTGAGAAAGGCGCATAGAATCATGGGTAGAGTAGAGATAGAGTTAGATTGCAGCCACACGTGCCTTGACAACTGTGACTCAAATACACTCTTGGATTGATTGGTAAAATTGTGTTTATACAACCGATAGCTTGATATTGGACAGATCGACGGATGCTTGTGCTGCGCCGACGAGCCCTGACCCTCTGGGAAGTGAGATGCATAATGCACTGAGAGATCCATTGGAAGCCTGTGCACATTTGCTTGACTCAGCCTCGAAGTGACTGAAATCTTGTACCAAGGATAGTGGGGCACTAGTGTGTGCCCAAGCGATTTTGGAGGATTTGCTCACAATCCGTGCAGATCGTGATGACCTTTGACAGCAAGCAATCTTCGGATGGTACTGGGATGTACTGGGGTAGTGTATGCCAAGATTTTTCACCAAATTCCCAGATCATCCCAGATCCAATTTTTTGGCAAGACAATTTGGGCCACTAAGGTCTACTACTATGGTGTGGATGCTCTTTTCACTTGCCACCCAGAGTGTGTTCAAAAGCTTTGCGCTCGGGCTCCCACTCTGATGGCAACTTTGTTGGATGGCTTGGTATGGCGCTCACGGCAAACCAAAGAAGGCCGGCACGAGGAAGACGAGTCGAAGACGAGGGATGGCAACGTAGAGATTCAAAAGTCTGGATGAAGGGTTTTCTACCTTCTCAATGGTATGCCTTTCTCAACCCTCCTCCCTGTATCAAAGGTGCTTTCTTTTTCCCCTCCTCAAAGGTCCTGGTTTCCCAACCGTATTCCTGGAAAACTTTTCCATGTTCGAAGGATGTCTCAAGGCCAAGTGTTTTCCCACAGTGAAGGTTCGCGCTCAAGGCTGCCAAAAAAATAAAAAATAAAATAAAATCCCGGAGACAAACCCATACCCCGGGGAAGAACACTTGCGACCGAACATTGCAAATATGCATAAAACATGCTATGTGTTTTTCTCAATGGTATGTGCCCGTATTTTTATGTTTATTTTTTTCTCCCCGGAGGTCCCGGAGAGGAACCCTTGGAATTTCTTCCCCCGGAGGTACCGTAGAGGAACCCTTGAAACCCTTTTGCTCGTTTTTTTCCCTTCGTCGTCTTTCGTCGTCCGTCGTGTTTCAATGGGTATCCTTGAGACAGACACTTGACCTGAGCAAGACCACAAACGAGAAAGTACCTTGGCGCAGACCTTCGAGAGATCAGTGCCCGGCAGAGGGCATTTGATAGATTCTGATAGATTTGATAGGGCATTTCATCATATGGCCACATGGCCAAAGCAGCAATTTGGCAAATATCCACACCTGCAGCATCCAGTGCAGCAGCGGATATCATAGTTTGTATATGTAAGGGACTACCGGAAGTTCAGCCTCAAGATTAACGTTTCAAAGAAAGACTTTTTCACGAAATCGGAATCCATCAAATTATGATTGATGATTGAAGCTTTTGGACTTCAGCTCAATATTAAATCTATTCATATGTTTCTTTCTCCTTCGGCACATAAGAAGGATAAAGAGGGTCCAAGATCACTGGTTTTTCCACATGAAGATCCACGAAAAAGGGACCGCACACCCACACGCTGACTATCGCTGACTGCAGCTAAATTTACCAAATGCCTGTCTGTGTTTGCAGGCATGCGTCGCGTGAATTACTACGTGAAGCATTTGATCCAGGCAAGCTATACTTCTGAGAGTAGAACAAAACTGGCCGAGTATGGTGCCGATGTCAACTTTTTGCAGCCCATGTTTGACGCTTGAACGAAACAAACTCCTCGCTGCTGATCTATATTACATTATTTTGCTGCAGATGCAGCACTGCAGAACCACACAAAAAGGTGGCCACGAGAAATGAACGCTTTCGGTGTTCTTGATTGTGTATGAGTCATCTTGATTGTGTATGAGTCGTATGGGCATGGCATCCCCGCATTTCGTTGGGTTTTTGTTCATGTCTCTTGCTTCGTATCTAGCTAGATAGAGAAGAGTTGCAGTATATATATATAATATGAATGGGTTTGTGCAAAATTGGAGGATGCAGCAACAGTGCAACATGACAATATTAAGGGGAAAAATGAAAACTATGAGATTCGGGGGAATAATGCACAGTATAATTAATTCTATGATATACAGCCCGAGCGCTGGTGAAGAAAACGAAAGCATGAGGTCCAGGGTCCCTCAAATTCTTATTTTTAAATACAGGCAAATTTACACTACAACAGGCTGAGGGTCCCTCAAATTCTTAAGGCATTCTTAGTACTGTATTGCAGGCATCTTCACAATTTGGAGCAAGATTAAACAAGGTAACGAGGTGGAGTTGGCAGATTTGACTGCTCATGCAAAAGTTATACCAGGGTTTTGGCCGCGCTGGGCTCCGTTGTGGCCGGAATCCTGCGTAGCTGTTCCGGCTACGCTGGTTTTTTGGCCTTGGTTGCTTGCAGCGGGGCCGCCGCCAGGAAAACGCAAAAACGCGCGTAGATCGACGATAGTAGTAATATAATATAATAGTAGTAATATAATTGAAAAAATATAATTAATAAATCGCTTACTGTTTTCTTCAGCCAAACCCACATGGCAAATTGTTTACAGAGCACAAAGAGCAGCAAGACTTCTGCATTGATTTGCAGGATTTGGAGGGAAACTTCAGCCCCAATCTGGAATGGCTGGTGGAGCATAGCGATCCAAAGATCCCCGGCAAAAACAATTGGCTGCTGAGAGGTCCACATGGAGAGGAGTTTTACGATGTTTCACGGTTTGATGTTTGAACCGCGTCTCAATTCACAACAAGTATGGAAGCCGCAAGATGCCGCAAGCAGAGTTGCCAGTTGCCACAGGGAACTTCCAAGATCTCCCAAGGATCATCCGGCACTCCACTGTGATTCTGTTCTCAGATGTTCTGTGGCATCGCGTTGCCAGTGGCTTGCCTTAGTTGGTACTGTAGGGGACCAATACCATTTATTGGTATAAAGAGGGTACAGTATACATGACTTGAGTTGCTTTGACTGATAAAGGGAGGCCACTCCAATTGGTGATTCTCAATGCTTGAAAAAAAGAAAGGCTTTGAAACTGCAGTGCATGCCTTAACCCATCCCCGGTGTTTGCGACCTTTTTTTGTTGCACGAGCCATGAGTAAATGAAAAAGAACCTTGTGCAGGGGCTTTGTTCAGAAAATACGAACCCGGATGATCAGGATGCAAACTGTCCGCTGTGATACGAGGCTACAAGTTCATTTTGTCCAAGATCTATTTCCTACTGATCTTGGGGGTCTTCATCACCGGGCAATCTGCTTTGTTGAACCACAAGCTTGGCAAGAGTCAGACGCTTGGGGAAGACATTGCGATGTTTTCATGTCGTGTCTTCAATTACATCTTCTCCATGTGCAAGCTCATTATCAGTGCCTTGGCTTGCACGTTTCCTCGCAGTCTACATTTAGTTTTTTTTGATAAAGCTGATGCCCCAGGCTTCTCACAGATGCTTGAGTGAGGCAATAAAATAGGGCACTTAGCATCTGGGTTGTGCCAGTTCTTTTTTGAGAAGGATTGAAAAGTTATGTCATGTGTCCAACTACCCCTTCAACCACTCGTGGTTTGTCTTGTTTCCTGCTGGACAACAAGGCCAATCCAACAAACTCTTCAGAGACTTGGGCAACAGGGAGATCAAAAGTGCCCTGCCTGACACTGCTGACAGTGTGAATCTCGTCAGTACAATGCTTAGACTTAGACCATCACAATGTGCGTCAGACTGTGGCCAAGGACTTTGTGGTATCCCCCTGCCAGCCTACATTTTCCAGTTGCAAGAGATTGCCAATGTGACACTACTGGTTCTGCTTTTGGCCATGTGTACGCAGGAGTGCTGTGAAATTCAAACGGCAATCTTAGTCTTAGTCGATGTTATGCCTGTCCTGTCTTCTTTTACAGCTCTAAGGATTTGGTCTCAACTTTGTGTTGTTGCTGGTTTGTCATCTTGATGTTCATCATCCTGGTGAATTGTCTCAAGATAAAATGATCTACAATGAGTGAACATGAATGAACATCATAGGGTAGAATTACCTTTCAGGGCATGATGATCACGTTCTGCAGTTCGCAGGCGCAGTACCTGGTTCCATCTAATTTGATGCTGTTGATTTTATTGGAAGTTCTGATGCAGGAGCCTTACTTTTGGTGCCTAAACGATGGCTTCGGAATCACCATGGAGTGTGACTCAGGCTGGTGCGGAGACAATCGTGGTTCCTTTTTGGGATGTGATCATTGATTTGGACATTGCATGGTCCAATGGTAGTGTCACCTGCATGATCTCATAGAGTGTTGGTAAGCAACAGAGGCGGCTCTTTGAGGCAGCGTTGGAGCAAAACTGGAACTAAACCCACAGATTGTTGAGAATCGCGCCTGCGAGTGTCCAGATGTGATGAATTAGAGGTTCAAGACGTCGTCCTGCCGTCCTGCCCATCAGGACAAGACCGCATGGAATTCTACACCATTTGTAGCTGGGCAATACTTTGACACAACTGGCATGGAGCGTGCTCGTCCCCTCCTCGTCGGTACATGTCTAAGGTCATCTAAGGTCTAGAAGGATCTAGAGTTCACAAAGAGGACAGTTGGACAATTGATGTTGGCTATGGCTACAAGACCCGGGTTTTGAGAATTGATCAAATCCCTTCTGCCATCCCCAGCAAACCGGGGCCCATGGGATGTATTTGGACAAATATGCCTGTTTACTTCCATGTTTTTTATGGACTTCATGTTCCGCAGAGATCAACAGAGCTGGAATATTTTTTGGATAATTTTGGATGTGGTTTGACATGGCTTGTAATCAAATAAGGGACGTTCTTTTGGACCCCACATTGTGATTGCAATATGTTTTCCATGCTGGGGATAGACTGGGTATTCAGAATTTGGCACAAAGTTGGTATCCCCTTTTTGCTTTGTGTGTCTTCGTGTGTTTTTCTTTGTGAATCAATGTCGGGACTTGTGCATCTTGTGCTGGCTTCGCATTTCGTTGGGATGCCCAGATGCTTTCTCAATGATTCTCAAACCATTTAATTATTGAACGACAAACGGACCCTTGCCCCATCGGATCATTGCGAGGTGTGATTCACATACTTGGTATCACTATATTAATTAGTGCTCCAGGCATCTCCAGACTCTTGAGATCTCTTGAGTTTATGCAGTTATAAAATGTGCGAATTCCGATGGACAAAGATGTCTCAGGTGCTTTCCTTGCGATGATGCTCTACTGGGCTCTGCTTTCAGACTTGGCCATTTTTTCAATGCGCATCTCTGCATTCGCAGCTTGGAAAAAATGTGGTACTATCGGACATGTGTCCGTGCGCGTGCGCAAACAAGTTCCGCGAAACTACTTAGGTAAGTCTTCTCTCGTTTAGTTGCTGATTCAGTAGTTTGTCATATTTAGCGTCATGCTTGATATTTTGCTGTTCATATTCGACGCTGCAAGGTCCTGGTGTGCGGGCGTGTGGTGATCGAAGTGGTGCTTTTCTTGACGGCGCTTTTCCTGCTGGTCTTGGCCTTTTGCACCGCGTCAGCACTGCCAGTGTCTCTTTGATTGAAATTCTGTGGAAGAATGAAAATGATCCACTCAAAAACACTGAAATACAATGACTATGCTGAACCTCAGGCACAGCGATCAGCACTTTGTACTATGAAATGCCAGCAAAGGAAGGTGCTCATGTGTGGCTAGAGGAGCTATGCTGGGCTGAACATGTTTGGGGAGAATAAGAGGGTGCTCCTGATGCCGATGAAACATGTATAAATGTGCTATATGTGCTGTTGATATATGCTGATATGATAGTGTATGAATGAGCGGTCTCCCCCCACTGTAATTTTTCCAAATGGCGCTCCTAATGACGGTTACTACTGTATAGTCTAGTCTGTATAGTGCTGTTTCTTTGGCCTTATAATTTTGGCGAAGATGCTCACCGTTTCATAATTACTCTTTTGGGATGCGCATCCGTAGTGGAAGCCCGCTTTCAGGAGCTGATTCGGATGTCTTTGGGGATGCGACTCGCAGCATTCATCGCTTGCATGATCAAGTGATGTGCTCATTTATGGCTAGTTTTTTTTTGCTGTTCGCTTTGATCCGCTATCCTCAGTACTTAGTAATCAATAGAGGGGCGCTGGTTTTTGTCAATTGAACTTGCTGGCTTGCAAGTATTTCTCGATGAATTAACGGTTGACTTCAACCGCCTTCCCCAAGCATTGACAGAGGTTCTCTGCACCAACGCATGAGGTACTCGCCAGAGGCTTATCAAATCATCATCTCGACCTCAGTTCTCGTCACCATTCCAGTATGCATGTTCCTGTTCATCGTTGGCATTTGTTTGACCAACCTTCTGGTCGCCCAGCTGCTTGTCTCAATGCTCCACGAAAGTTTTGTGTAGCTAGGGAGGGTTGGTTTAAGAGGTGCCTTTGATCGATGTGATGATTGTCATGGGGCTGATTCACGCTGATGTTCAAAGCTGAAACCGCAGCAGTCTGGAGGAAATGATGAGGAAGGAAATTTACCATTCGCTTTCGCCTTTCCCAACGTCCAACGGTATATTATATAATATGTATATATATATATATATGTATGTATTATATATATATTATTTTCTTATATATATATATATATTATTTTCTTATATATATATATATTAAATTAATATTTTTTATTTTTAATATTATATATATATATTATATTATTATTCTTATTATTATTACTATTATTATTATACTATATTAGATTAGATTAGATTATATTACATAATATAATATTACATTATATTATATCATATCATGTTATATTATACTTATACTGTATATTACTGTATAATATAACATGATATGATATAATATAATGTAATATAATATAATCAATACCCATGAACATATCCTCTATAAAATGAGAGGGGTCAAGGCATGCCATATTTTGTTTTATGCACCTCCAGCGGCACTCCTTCAGGGGGTCACTCACCCTACTTTATAGTGATTTTAGGGTTGTAGCTGAAATCTGTCCAGATTTGTTCAAGTTTTTGCAGTGCAGCCATGATCCAGGTTGTTCTTATCCGCAGCCATTGATCATTTGATCAAAGATGCCTCGGGTGGGGGCACAACCTCCGAAAAGGAGACCGGCCCTGTGCCATGTGAAGTTCTGAAGACATGCTCAGGGAAGATGGGCAAACCATCTCTTTCCATTCCTTCATTTTGTTCCCAATGACGCCCAATGCCAACCCTGGCCTTTCAATGGGCCATTTTGGAATAGTGTTGGCTACTTGTATGATTTCCAAATGCCACCACTATAAAATGGCTGGCCTCAACCTTTCAACCCACCATGAAATTGGCGATTGAGCCAGCACCTGCCATCCTTTTGGGTTGAAATTGCCTGGAAAGCTGGGAATTCAACCCAATCACCAGTTTCATATTGGGTTGGTGGGTTGAGGCTAGCCATTTTGTAGTGGCTAGATTTGGGAAATTGTGCAAGTAGCCCACATTAAAAAAACAGTAGCCCACATTGTGCTATCTAGCCATGGCCTTTCAATGGGCTACTGTGTTTTAATGTTGGCTACTTGCACAATTTCCCAAATCTAGCCACTACAAAATGGCTAGCCTCAACCCACCAACCCAATATGAAACTGGTGATTGGGTTGAATTCCCAGCTTTCCAGGCAATTTCAACCCAAAAGGATGGCAGGTGCTGGCTCAATCACCAATTTCATGGTGGGTTGAAAGGTTGAGGCCAGCCATTTTATAGTGGTGGCACTTGGAAATCATACAAGTAGCCAACACTATTCCAAAATGGCACATTGAAAGGCCAGGGTTGGCATTTGGAGGCATTGGAAGCAAAATCAAGGAATGCAAAAGGATGGCAGATGCTGTCTCAATCACCAATTTCATGGTGGGTTGAAAGGTTGAGGCTAGCCTTTTTTGTGGTGGCGGCACTTGGAAATCAAGTAGCCCACACTATTCCAAAATGGCCCGCTGAAAGGCCAGGGTTGGCACTGGGCGGCATTGGAAACAAAATGAAGGAATTGGAAAATGGTATGATTCTAAGTGAGGTGCTGAAATCTGTTGACTTGCGCCTTGACCATTTGGAAAGGGAACCAGTCGTTTTATAGAGATTTTGTGGTTCAAGTTCAAGGTGTTCTGGGGTCAGGCCCCCTCAAAATATAGTGTTTTCATTTGGGTTGGGGCCATTCATTTTATAAGCAGTGTCTAGTCATTTTATAGTGAAAACCATTTTATGTCTATCAAATGGCTTGCAGGACCCCCTCCCATGTATGTTCACAAGGATTATAATCATATATATGCAAATATAATCGAAGGAAGTTTAAAGAAGTCAAACTTCCGACAATATGGACAGGTGAAAAGCAGAGCAGGGCAGAGGCAGAGAGAAGAGAAAGATAGAAGAGAGAAGAGTAGAAGAGAAAGAGTCAGAAGAAAGAAGATGCAGATGCGCGAAAAGGTCGGAAAGTCGCGAAACACTATGTTTTTCCAATGATTTGTGGCTCCGGAGGGTCGAAAAGTAGGCTCGCTAAAGCGGCGGGTGCGGAGCCAGCTGGCCAGATGAAAGATGAAAAATTGCACGCCGTTGTGGCGCGAAGCACATTTCCAAGTCAAAATGTACAAAACACACCATTGTCGGACTACTTTTGGAAGGTGAGATGTCGAAAAAGTGCACGCCGTTGTGGCGCGAAGCACATTCCCAATAGATCAGGTTAGGCAATTTTCTGCCGAAAAGGTAATTCCTTATCTTAGACAAAAAATAACTATTAATCTATTTTTTCCTTACCTAAATTAGTTAATTTTTCTTGCCTTAACTAATTTTTTACCTAACTTTCGCAAACTTTCAACCCCGCCTCGCAAGTTTGCATGCAAACTTTCAACCTCCCCTCGCAAGTTTGCAGGCAAACTTTCAACCCCCCCTCGCAAGTTTGAGTGTAAACTTGCACCACCATTTGCATGCAAATGCTTGCGTGTGTGTGTCAAAGGGCGCAAATTTGCTTGCAAACTTTCAACCCCGCCTCGCAAGTTTTCGCGCAAACTTTCAACCCCCCCTCGCAAGTTTGCGCGCAAACTTTCAACTTCCCCTCGCAAGTTTGCATCCAAACTTTCAACCTCGTCTCGCAAGTTTGTTCAGCCCCGCCTCGCAAGTTTGCACGCAAACTTCCAACCCCACGTGCTGAATTACCTTAAAATTAGGTTACATTTTTACATTAAAAATTACCTAATTAGGTAGGAAATAAGGAATTAACTATTAGGAAGGAAATTGCCTAACCTGATCTTTTGGGTTTCGAAGTCAAAATGTACAAAACACACCAGGTTCGGACCACTTTTGGAAGTTGCGATGTCGAAAAAGTGCACGCCGTTGCGGCGCGAAGCACATTTCTAAGTCAAAATGTACAAAACACACCACGTTCGGACCACTTTTGGACGGGTTCAGAGCATCTCGCAGAATAGCTTGGTTTTCAAGCTTGCAAATAGACAGGTAGATAGACAGACAGACAGATAGATAGGTAGACAGAGAGATCAGTAGGTAGGTAGGTAGATAATCAGAGAAAGATAGAGAAACAGAGAGAAAAAGAGAGAAAGAGAGAGAAAGAGAGGAGACCTCAAGCACCTTTCAGTCCATCAGTGGCTTCGCTCTGCCATCCGTGATTCACAGCAACCAGCCCTCCTATAGGTTTCCTATTTTTGAAACTTCCGCCACCGCCTTGTGCGGTACTACTGGTTTAATGTTTTTATTTAATCAAAATGATTATTATAATATATTAGTCGTATTATGCCGTGTTGGCCCCAAGTGGGCGAAGTCCTGAAGCGCACAGAACATCACAGAACCCATTTTTCCACAATTACCCCTGTCAGACTGGAGCCTAGAGATGTTAAATTCACCACATTTCACCAGCCATTTGGCTGCCAAGGCTCTCGCAATCGTACCATGATGCGTATTCCAATATGCAGGGCTATGCGCGACTAAACAGGGCAAGCATCACCAACACCACCGTGCAGGACCGATGCACAGCACCCTTATAGTTGTCACGTATTAGCAAGCACTTGCAAACATCGAACTGTGCCTTGCTGGACTACAGGTGCTGGGACCCATTACTGTATGTCCAATGGGTCCAAGGATCTATTTGGTGTTCCTAGTCTTTGCTTTGTTTCGTTTCACATTATTTTGTTCAGTCCAATTCTTCTGCACACAGGTCCAGAAAATTTGCCTAACGTGGTTGGTTGTCTTTATAAAAGTTGTTGCATGCATTTCAATGGTAGTTGATATTGACACTGCGGTTCCTTTATACTTTTTGCCCAGCCATAGTCCCCGCATCCAACTCCTTATTGGGTTATCAGTGCCTAGATGATATGGCCAGGGCATTTCTGTCAAGAGATGGACCAAATTCCTGGAGAGTCTGAAGTTGGACGATCCATTGGAATTCAATGAGGGCGATGTTGGCTTGTCAGGCTGGGGTTCAGCATCCCAGGACATTTTTGTTGCAAGCATTGACAAGCATATTGAAATTTCATGAAATTTCTGCGTTACAAATCGGAGAGTTCGGATGCCTGCCAGTAGGTGGGTAGCAATAGGTAGCAAGGTGAACTCAACTTTCAGCTTGCAAGGAAACGCCAAACATATCCAAACATGGTAAATAGTTAGTTGTGTCTATGTGTGGGCAAACTGCTGCCAATGAAGTTGGTCACAGAATGGCCCATGAATTTTCAGAGTCATTTGATATCGTATAATAACTTTGAAAACTTTGAACAATCCAATTGTTTTGCAGCAGCGGCCGTTGGCAGGTGGCATTCAAGTCTTGGAACCCTCCAATGCTCACATTGTCACGGAGGATTGCAGAACCTGTCCCAGACATTAGTGTTTATGGTGCAGTAGGCGTGGGGCAAAGAAAGCGAGCAAGGGGAGTAGCTGCAGACACTCTCCACGTCTCTCTATCATAGCTTTCAGCCAGAGAAGACGTGCGAAGGATGCAACGTGACAGAAACCAACATATAAGGGCGAAATAGGGCGAATGGCGAAGGATTATCAGTTTTAGCCACCTGCTGGCCCTCAGCCTGCGGCGGGCGGAACCATAGGTCGGGATTGCAATAGAGAGAGAGAGAGAGAGAAAAAAAAAAAAGAGATAGAGAGAGAGAGGAGGGAGATAGAGAGAGAGAGAGAGAGAGAGCGGATATCAATCTTAGTACGAGCAGTGGTATGCCAGACGAGTGAATTGAATGGTGTTCCTGCAACACTTGGAAAGAATGTACACTTTGGCTTTCTCAGAAAAGCTACGAAGCAGCAAGAATGTCTTGTGTTTGTCCACCGCAACTGCTGTGTAGCGACAGCATTTCGTACTGAAAGATGATAGTATGATAGTATGTGAGATTATGTGAGTATGTGACAGTATGTGTGTATTTCGGATCAATCAATGGATATGAATCGTTTCCAGTGGGCCCAGTGCAGGACACAATCAAGCGCTTTGGCGGGTCAACTGCGCCGAGCGCACCGTGGCCAAGAGAAGCAGATGATGAGGAGGAAGATAAGCTGTGACCTGGCAGGCTTTATCAGATTTTTTCTGTGTTGTCTCAGTTGTCTCATTGTTCTTTTGATGTTTCTCATGCTTGAACAAGGTCAACATTGAACAACAATTCAACATTTTTTCTCCGGCAAAGCTTGTTAGAATGATGTCATGGGTAAGACGGGTACGACTTGATCAGATTCCCAGGTCCCTTCTTGAACAGAAGCTACAAGCTATCATTAAGGCTCAGAAGAAAGGCCGGGACTTGGGCAATTTTTGGCTTCAGCAACGCTGGTTGAGATTACCCAACCAGCACCCTTGAAACCGCTTGAAACGAAGCAATCTTTTAGACTGCAGATGACGGCAGCAATGGTGTCCGACATTGGTAAACGCATGGACGTGCCAAAATGTTCAAACAATAGCCTCTGCAAAGGAAACAACATCCAAAGAGTGAAGGGAATGCCTGGACAGTGTCGATCGGTGGTTCACTCTGGTCAGGCAACAGAAGCCGTGGCGCAAGCACAGAAGGATCACAAGGTGCGAAACTAAGGCTGAGATCCAATGAGAAGGTTGGTTCAAAGCTGGGCTCATAGAATTTTCCATTACCCAGCGACACCACCCCTCAAAGAACTTTAGTGCTGCAAGGTGACTTGACACTGTTGCAGTGATGCGAAAAGTCCTTGGTTGCTGGTGGACTGAAGCCTGCTCAAAAATCCCCAAAGAGGAGAAGTCACAGACTTCAACGTTTCAGATATGTTCAGATGGCTCAAAAAATAATTGACCCTCATTTCCGGATGCGCTTGAATTAAACATATTTAAACGCATTGAACCTCACCACTTTTGCCGGTCCATTGGTACAATTAGTACCCCATTGTTTAGCCTGACGTATTTATTGGTTTGAAAGCGGGCCCCCAATGTCAGAGAATAATCATCTATCATCATCTATCATTTTTTCCGATGTTCTCAAACCTCCTTTTTTATTTTTTTTGGCTCCTATCCCCAATGTTTGAGCCATACCCAGATGAGCCACACGCACGCAAGCTTTTGACAAGTTCATGCTTGCGCAAGCTTAAAACATCTCAAAACTATCGAACGTGAAATATTTGAAAACCAAGTCCAGACCTGCTTCGCTGCTGCATCGCGCAAGCACAAATACAATCAAATACGCCAAATTTCAACAAAACCTCTGGCGCAAGGGCGCGCAAGCTCCTGTTGTGGTCGCGCAAGGACGGCGCAATGGTTTCGTGCAAACAGAAATCATTTCCATTAGGCTATCATTCGGCTTCAATATATTTTAGCAGAGGTTTTGACACTGCTCAGATGTCTTCAGACTTTTGACGACTTGTCAGGTGCTAGCAGCGGTGAGTCAACCAACACCTGAGTCGAGCTGAAGCGTTGCCGAGTGGCAAGCCGTCCCTTGTGAAATCGTTGCCCTCGACCTGTCAGGAGGACATGGGGACAGATCAAAGAGGCTGCCATGAAGTGAATACTGATCCTAATTATATAATATTATATACACATCAGTACATCAATGCATGTTATATAATCTTAATATATACATATATATATATATAAAGAATATACATAAACGATATGTGTATATATTCTCGAAGGAAGTTTAGAAGTCAAATTTCCGCATTATAGACAGATGCAGCGACAATTGTGAGAAGAGTCAGAGAAAAGAAAGAGTCAGAGAAGAGAAAGACTCAGAAGAGAAGAAGTCAGAAGAGAAAGAGTCAGAAGAAAGAAGATCCAGGTGCGCGAAAAGGTAGAAAAGTCACGAAACACTGTGATTTTCCAATGTTGTGTGGCTCCGGAAGGTCGAAAAGTAGGCTCGCTAAACCGGCGGGTGCGGAGCCATCTGGTCGGAGAAGAGATCAAAATTGCACGCCGCTGTGGCGCGAAGCAGATTTTGAAGTCAAAATGCTAAAAACACCTCATTGTCGAAGCAGTTTTGGACGTTGAGTTGTTGAAAAAGTGCAAGCGGCTGTGGCGCGAAGCATGTTTCGAAGTCAAAACGGTGAAAGCAGCAAATGCTTGCACCATTTTTGGAAGTTGCTTGGTTGAAAAAGCGCACGCGGCCACATTTCGAACTCAAACGTGTTAAATCTGGCTGTAAATCTAATGGTCCCGGCATGTCCCCACCACTTTTTGACGGCAGCTGCAGTGGGTTCTGCACCTGGTGAAAAGTGAGCCAAACCATCGTGGGGGCTTGTAGCTGTTTCAAAAACGATGACAGGCGTGGGATGTTTGAAGAGGATCTGCGAAGATGGATTTGGTGTGGCAGGCACAGGACGAAAGACATCTCCATAAGACATGTTAGGAGGTCAGGGCGCTGATTTCCTGAGAGGGGTTGCATTTTGTAGCATCGAATCTTGAGGTTTGCGATTTAGCGTGACGGGTGCAGCACTTCGTATGACCTGGCTTCACTTTTTTGTGGCAGGCGCAATACTTTAGACAGATGGGGTGGACAAATCGCAAAACGCAATGTCATGAGGGCGTCAGCTCTGCTCTCAACTATGCTAACTATACATTTTTATATGTTTGAAGGAAGTCTCGCAAATTTGCTTCGTTTTTGATGAGGAAGTCTCGTAGAATTGCTTCGTTTTGTATGTTGTCTACTTCGAATTTGGGGGGAAGCCTCGCAGAATTGCTTTGTTTTGGACGACGTGATGACTCCCTACCAACTTCGACTTTTGAAGATAGTCTGGCAGAACTTCCTGTCAGATAGATACATAACGATACATAATTAGATACATGGCAAGGTAGAGAAAGAGATAGATAAAGATAGAGATACAGATCGATTTAGAGCTAGAGCTGGACATGGGGATGGAGATAGAGAAAGGTACCGAGATAATAGATAGAGAGACAGATTCAGATAAATATAGATCGATTGATACAAAGATAGATAGGTACACAGACAGTCAGAGAGACAGATAGATGGATGGATGGATGGATGGATAGATGGATAGATAGATAGATAGATAGATCGATCGATCGATCGATCGATTAGATAGGTTAGATAGTTTAGATCGATAGATAGATAGATAGATAGACAGACAGACAAATAGATAGATAGATTGTTAGATAGATAGATAGATAGAAAGATAGATAGATAGAAAGATAGATAGATAGATAGATGGAATTAGATAGATAGATAGATAGATAGATAGACAGACAGATAGATAGATAGATTAGTTTAGTTTAGTTTAGATTAGATTAGATTGAATAGATAGATAGATAGATAGATAGATTGATTGATTGATAGATAGATTAGATAGATTAGATAGGTTAGATAGATTAGATAGATTAGATAGATAGATAGATAGATAGGTAGATAGATCGATAGATCGATAGATCGATCGATCGATCGATTGATAGATAGATAAATAGTTAGATAGATAGATAGATCGATAGATAGATAGATCGATAGATAGATAGTTAGATAGATAGATAGATCGATAGATAGATAGAAAGGCAGAAAGACAGAAAGACAGACAGATAGATAGACAGTCAGACGGACAGATAGTCAGATAGATAGATAGATAGATAGATAGATAGTTAGATAGATAGATAGATAGATAGAAAGGCAGACAGACAGACAGACAGACAGACAGACAGAGAGACAGAGAGAGAGAGAGAGAGAGCGAGAGAGAGAGAGAGAGAGAGAGTGATAGATAGATAGATAGATAGGTAGATAGATAGATAGGTAGGTAGGTAGATAGATAGATAGACACATAGATATATAGATACATAGATACATAGATACATAGATACATAGATAGATAGATAGATAGATAGATAGATAGATATAGAGAGATAGAGAGATAGAGAGATAGAGAGATAGAGAGATAGAGAGATAGAGAGATAGAGAGATAGAGGGATAGAGATAGAGAGATAGATCGATAGAGAGATAGATCGATAGATAGATAGAAAGGCAGAAAGACAGACAGATAGATAGACAGTCAGACGGACGGATAGTCAGATAGATAGATAGATATAGATAGATAGATAGATAGAAAGGCAGAAAGACAGACAGACAGACAGATAGATAGATAGATAGAAAGGCAGAAAGACAGACAGATAGATAGACAGTCAGACGGACAGATAGTCAGATAGATAGATAAGATTAGATTAGATTAGATTAGACTAGATTAGGTTAGATTAGATAGATAGATAGGTAGACAGATAGATTAGATTAGATTAGATTAGAATAGTTTAGAATAGATTAGATTAGATTAGGAAAGTAGGTAGATAGATAGATAGGTAGATAGAGAGAAAGGCAGAAAGACAGACAGACAGACAGACAGAGAGATAGATAGATAGATAGATAGAAAGATAGAAAGATAGATAGATAGTCAGATAGATAGATAGATAGATAAGATTAGATTAGATTAGATTAGATTAGATAGATAGATAGGTAGACAGATAGATTAGATTAGATTAGAATAGATTAGATTAGATTAGATAGATAGGTAGATAGGTAGGTAGGTAGATAGATGGGTAGATAGAGAGATAGATAGAGAGATAGATAGATAGATAGACAGACAGACAGACAGATAGATAGATAGATGTGATAGATTTGATAGATTTGATAGA